ACAAACTTATTGCATAAGTATTATGTAACAATTAAGATACTAAGTAAACCTTATGAAAGAATAATTGTAAGATTTGTGAATTATTTGATTTCAATTAAATCATTAATTGAGTAGATAAAACTTTAAAGGTAGTTAAATTATTAACGCAGCGAAGTGTGGGCTAGAAAACTAGTAAACCATTAATTATAGAATTGAATCATTAGAAGAAAGGGGGAAAAAACAAAACAGGATTGAATCTTTTGATTGCGGTCCAGCACATTCTCACTCATGACTCCAAAACAATGGAAGTGGTTACTGATGACACTGATCAGCTATAATAATAATCCCATAACTAATCAAGTAATTAACTTAATCACTACGTATGTGACAAATAACAAGTTGCTTCAGTGCTTCTTCTTGTAATTGGAAACTTTATCCCTTTACTAACTTCTTCTCTAATACAATTATGAGTTGTAAAACACTTCATGTTTATTGTTATTTTATTATTGTAAGGGTTTATACTTCTATAATAGTATCAAAAAATGTAGTTAACCCGGCCACCAGTTGCAAGTGCATCTTGCTAATCACTAAAAAAACTAGCGTGGCCCCGGCTATTTGGCCGGAGGAAGGTATATAAGGTATGAAATTTGATAATGTAATGGGGTGTATAGCTTATTGTTGTATAGTTTTTTTTTTGAAACACGTGACATCTCGTATATTTTACCCTACGAAAATTAGTTACCCAAGAGGTAGAGTTTTAGTGACGCATTCGATTTGTCCAACCAAAGATTGCATCACATATTGATCATACTCTGTGTTTGGCCCGACTTTTATAGGTGGTTTGCTTCTTCAAAAGATTAAGTGAGGCCGAACACCTCTATAAGCTCAATTTTTGTAAAATTAAAAAAAATTATAATATATAAGCATAAGCTCTAATTTGAAAATTCGTCAAAAAACTGTTTTAAAAATATAAGATTATCCTACCAAAAAAAAAAAGAAAAAAGAAAATACAAGATTATCCTTACCGTTTTTTTTTAGAAAACATACTTTTCTTCATCTATATAATTTAAAATAGAATAAATTAGAAATTAATATGAATTCATATAAAGTAAATTTAACAATACCTATTTTGACTACTTTTTATTCTTTCAAATTTTTACTCGTATTTTCTATTTTTTGTTAATATTACATTTCTTTTATATTTAATAATATGAATATTGAAGTTTTAAATCAATAAAATATGTAGGTTATTGTCAAGTTATTGGGCCTGGGCCGACATGATTTAGTTCAGAGCAGAAGCCCAGTCGGAAACTATACGAGTAGTAAGATTTATCAAGTTAGTGGGCCTTGGGCTTAATATGTAGTTTGCAACACAGACCATATTGTAAGATTGTTGGGGTTAATAGAAAGGCCTAGGAACAGTTCCGGTCAAAATGGCCTACGAGAACAACACAGACTATATATGCACTCTATTTGAATTTAACCTTTTAAGGCCCATTCACCCTACTGTTGTAGGTGTTCACTTAGATGAGTATTTCACATTCGTCTATATTGTCTCAACTCTCAACCCACACAAGGGATTTTCTTAGTCTATCTATATATGTTCTCGAGAACTTTACTTGTTTACCTCAGGTAAATTAATCCTTCTGGGAATTTCAGGGAATTCAAACAAATAGGCTATCACAATAATTTTCAAACATTAATTTGAAAAAGTAGTTGCATCCACCACATGCAGGGGAGTATAACTCCTCTTAAACAATGATAGGTCTCTTCGAGAAACCCATTGCAAAACATTATGCGATATCTCTCACACTTTCATACTTTCCAATAGCACAAAAATTTGTTTGTATCCCGCTAGTTTTGCCCTTTTTTAGGTGCAAGGACTTCTGGTCCTTAAACTTTATGCTCCTTGAGCAAGTTTCATGATTTCTTTCTATATTGGCCAATAACATCATCATTTGCATGCATCAATAGAGTTTTACTCTTGATCCTCACTTGTACATATCATATTCAGTACGGAAGTACAACAAACAAATTTCATCGACAATGACTTCTTTACGGTTCTAGTATTGTAGTCCAATATGTTTTTGAGATCTCTTCACTTTCACAAATTTCATACACATGTGTTCTTCTGGAACTAAAATCTTACTTTATTCTTGGTTACTCTCTTGAGTGTTCATGTCCTCGAGTTGACCATTCTAATTACAACTCCTTTTCTTTCTCGAGGATGCTTATCATTGGAACCGATTGGTCTATCACGCTTCATGCGTTCTTTAGACACATTTTTTTATATTAAAGTACTCAACAATGATATCAAATTTAGTTGGAGCATTTACAGCTAGTATATGTGACTGGTCACTTTGTATGGTCAGTAAAGGCATTTGATAGTTGGTAATGATAATTCATCTTATGAACTTCAGGTTCAGGTTTCTTACTTTGAGGATCAAAACTAAATAATAACTCATTCCAACTCATCTCTTTGTCTAGCTGTTTTTTTTTTCTCTCCCCCTTAATGTTTGAAAAGTGATTCATCAAAACAATAATTTCGCAAACAAATTTCCCATTTGGGATTCATACCCAACACAAATTCTCAACTTCCAACGAGAATCAACTTAAGATACTGTGGTGGAGCAAGTGGGATGTATGCGGCACACCCTGATATTCTCATATGAGAAATGTTAGGTTTTTTACCAAAATCAATTCTAAAAGGGGGGAACTTATGATAACTTGTTGGTTAGATGTGAACCAATACTATCACTTGCCAGCTAGCATGTCCTCGACAAGAGACCAGAAGGCTCAGCTTGTTCTCTTAAGCAAAATGATGTTTGATTGGATAACCATCAAAATGTATCCATAGTGAGGCAATCAATCTCGCAAACATCGGGTTGCGATTAGATAAAATACATGTGATCATCCATTTGATGTAGTCACTCATAAAATTCACAAATGATCCAAATGACTGATGTATTGTTCTGCATACACGTCCATAAAATCTCAAGAGATTTGTCAACTCTTATACAAGCGATGATCAATTTTTCTATTCTCCTTGAGAAAAAACATGACATAATAACTCTTTTAGTTGAAGAGTTCTTTGACTTCTCATATGATGTTCTCATGAATTCTCAAACAACTTTGTTTCCACATCAAGATCCGAGATGGTCTAACTGGACCAACCAAATTATCAAGTTATCAAATTTTGTAAACTTTTGGCTTACACTTTTATGCGTACTGATAGTACTAATATCACATAAAACATTAGCCCTTTTAGAGCTTTATCATATTTTGCCCTTCCGGGGACTTATGATTTGATGCATTCTTAGTAAACACATATTCATGATGAATATCATCACAAATTGTTATCACGAGTACAATTTAGTTACTTCAAGTAACCAAACATAAGCTCTTCGGAAGCCTTTTCTTATTTATGTACTCTATCATATAGTTTATATTGAATTTTTCCAACACTCATACTTTACAAAAACATACTAAAAATAATAAATTCAGAATAGTTCAAACTTAAGATAAAATGATGAATTTATCAAGTTAATTGTTCTCGGTAAAGATATCAAATTAAATTATGTATGAAAAATAACGTCACAATAAAACATAAAGAAAATAAGAATCATAATAATACAATTGTGAAAATTAAATAAGCTTTATTTTGAACAATACCATCACTGGTACATTATGTTATCATGACTTTGATAATGCAATTGTTATGTCATTCTTATTTATAATTCTCATTTTCCCCCTCTTTCTCACTTCTGGTGAAAAGATCCAAACAATACATTTAACATATATATAATTATGTTTACAGTTCCATTCACTTCGGGGAATAGATTGTTTCATTCACTTCTGGGAATGAAAATGTCTCAAGTGCAATATCATTTTAATTTTTAATGGAGAATATATAAACTTATATTACAAAAAATATATTCCATAATATTGATATTGCATGAGCATATTTGAATTTGCTATTCTCTTTGATTCTTGGTATAATAAAGTCTTTTGTGTACAACGGGTACGAGACAAACGCACTTTTTCATTACAATGGTAACATACAAAACCAATATTCTTATTACCATGTTCTTTTCTTTCTTTGCCCTTGAATTCTTCAACTTCCACTTTTGGGGAATATATGGGCTCTTTGAACTTGCATTTTCTACATATCAATGTGGGATTGATAAGAATTGGATAACACAGAGAACTGAAAAATTAACTCATCATTTATATTACTTTTCTTGTTAATCCAAATAGATTGCGCGATAAAATATCAATGGATACGAGAAAAGAGTAGCACTCATCTTGATATATTGGAATGAGATAATCTCAACACAAATTAGACAATAAGATAAGAAAGGATATAAGATTTACATACCTTGATCATATTGTGATCTTACTCCAATATCTTAGATATTGTGATCTTAGCAATGATAATTTTGGCAGAACTTCGTGCTGATAACGTGTTATGAAACTAATGGAAAATATAAACAACTACAAGAGAAGATTAGAGAGGGAAAGACACAAGAGAAGAGAGGGGAAGAGTTCTTCTTATTCATTCTTCACTTTTGATACAATAGTGTGCTATATTTATAGGCACACTTTGGTAACCACTACATCTTTATATCAATTCATATGAATGAGAGATAATGATGTAGAAATAGGGGTTACATGTAACTCCCAAGTGAGCATCTAATGTGGTAGGTCATTGGTCATCCATATATCAATATTTACATAATAAAAATATGAATTGCACAACATATAATAATATGATTAATATTTTTTTCTAATATAATTAAGTGGGTAATACAATACCAGACACCCTTTTATTTTATTAGAAATATCAGCACATATGGCATAGTAGCACTGCCCAAGCTTACATAGATATATAAGTTGTAACAACTTATTAGTCATCTTACACCCCACTCTTACATTTTTGTTTCAGTCACATTCTAATCATTCAAGCTGAATTCATTTTATTTCATTCCCAATTTCTTCTCATAACAATACTACTACTCATCTCAGACCGTGAAATGCAGAAGAGGAGATTTCCCATCAAGCCCTTTGTTCGTAACAAAGGTCACGTACTCCGAAACCGTGGTCGCCCTGTACTTGGGAGGATTCTCTTCCGACAAGAGTTCCTCGATGGGTTCATACTTGTTCGGGTTCGGTAACATCCCCGTACTGAAAAAACACGCGACGGATACCCTCGGCCCAGCACTGCGATTCGCCAGCACTCTATGCTCCACGCTGACGAACTTGTCGTTGGACATAAGCTGGACAAAAAAAGAAAAATTCAACCATATACAAAATCAGGATGCACGCAGTAGATTATATATTGAAACACAAGAAAACAAACTATATCGCGACCTCAAAATATATACAACGGTCTTTGATTAGTTAGTTACCTGTAGCAGATCTCCGATGTTGATGACAAGGGAGCCCGGCAATGGAGGCACATCGACCCACTGATTTTGGTGAAGGACCTGGAGTCCTCCGACGTGGTCTTGTAAGAGAATGGTCATGAAATCAGTGTCTGCGTGCTTGCTGGCTCCTAGGGTTTTATCAGGCTGCGGGCACGGTGGGTAATAGTGACATACAAAGTTATGTCCCATCAAGCATTCCTTGTTTCTAAGGTAGTTTGGGTCGAGCCCAAGAGCCTCGGAGAGCAACTCGAAGATCAGGTACCCCATGTTCAGCATCTCCTTGGAATACTCCATCAGGATTTCCCTGCAGATATCCCAAGATTTGTTAATATACACTAGCTAGTCGATTCCTAAGTAGATCAATTTGTCAAGAAACAATTGGTTTCAATAACTCGAATTGATGAGAGAAGTTTTTAATTATGTATCATTTATTAACACACGCCCCTCTAAAAAAAATGCCACTCGTATATGTTTGAAGTTTGTACATGTTTGGATATCATGTGTTTAACAACACAGATGGAGGTCACTAGAATTCCAATAGAAGACCTATTAGTTATGATGTAAGTTTGGCCCTAGATACCCAAAAACCCTGATCGGCTCTCATTTTCTCTACAGGCTCAGTTAAGGTTGGGTCATCTTTTGTCCCTGTAAGAATCGGTTAGGGTCAAGACAATTTAGGGTCGGGTCATTCTTTAGCCTATGATCCATAGCAACAGCTAGTGATATGAAATTTCGCTAACAACAGAATGGACTTGTTTCTAAAATTTTAGAACTTTAGATCCTCTAGTGCAAGGTAAAAATATAAAGGTACTAAATCATAATTCAAAATTTTTTGGACCTTCTGTAAAGAAATAAATTTTAGGTTCTAAATTGAAAGAAAAATAGGTTCTAATGTAAAATTTAGGTTCTTGAGTTATTGGAACATTGATTAACACTTTCATATGATCACTATACTATATATACCTGTTAGCGGCAGGGAGTTGTTGGGGCTTGGGAGGATCGGGAGCCATGTAAAAAACAGTGGTGTCCCTCCAGTTGGTCACCTGCCCAGTAAACAAGTCAAAATTACTGTTGTACACAATCTTCCTCGTATAATCCCGAGTGAAGAACTCCTTCTTCTCTTCCAGATCCTGCTCGTAGAACCTCTTCACTCCGTCCTTCATCTCCTCCAGAACATTCAACGGAACCCCATGATTCAGCACCTCGAAAAACCCCCACGTGGCGGAAGCATCCCTCACTCTCTCCACGATCTCTTTCCGTCTGGCCGGATCGGTGGCCACGCCTTGGAGGTCGATGACCGGGAAAGTGAACTTCTTTTCGTCGCCGGCCGGCGGTGGTTTGTTGTCGAGGAGGTGAGCCGGCGTGTAGAACATCGCCGGCACCTCGGTTACGCCGGCGTCGACAAGGCCTTTCACCCCGGCTTTTGTCGCGTCGAATGCCTTCAGCTGGGCGAGGCGATCGGCTTCATGGTTCAAAACCGTTGATGCCATTTTTTTAATTTCGAGCTTTTGAGGGTGAAGGAGATCGATCGATCGATCGAGCTTTGTGATGGGTGAATGAAGCGGGAGTGACAGTGCTTATATATAGTGCGATTAGATGGCGCGGTTTTTCCTTTGAATTGGATATTTTAGTGACTATATCGTCAGTTACGTACGCTCGTGTTCTAGAAAAGCCAGAATGGGGGTTAGGTAAGATGAATGGTATGCAGCCATCTTTGTTAACTAATAAACTCGTTCAAACCGGGTGATCATTGGTCGGATGAATTTTTGAATATACTATGATGATTATAGGATTTAATTATGTTCGTGTGCTAGTTATTCATGTTAGTTCATGAATATTTTTATTGATCATGTTACCGAATCTTACGGTTGTTTAGGACTTTGCTACGGTGACATGCAGGTCACAGTAATTTGTCATTTTAGGTCGACCTTATATAGGATTAGGTCGATCTAATATGTACTTTTAGGTTGATCTTATATAGGATTAGGTCGAGCTAATATGCCGTTTCAATTTTGTGAGCTTCACGACGCAGTTGACCTTTTATAGCAAATGGTCGACCTATTTGGGAAGCGCATGGATGACATGTACGACTACACACTACAAAAAAGACAGGCAGAAGTGACGAAATCCTTTTGACGACAGTGTTTTTTGGTTGGAAATAACTTTTTTTGTGACAAAAATTTGTCGTCCTCATAAAAACGTAACATATTTGTCATGAACATCAAAAGTTGTCAATAAAGCCCAAAACATTCGTCACTATAAGTCAAAATCGTAAATACGAGGAACGCCATCTCACTTTTACCGAGGATATTTCAACTTTTTGTCACAAATACAAATTATTTATGACCAAATTGAAATAGACGTCAGAAATAATATGTTTTTTTGACGCCGAAAAGGAGGGAAAATTTCCTGAATATTATTTTTGAGGACATAAATTTGTCCTCGGAAAATGTTGTTGGAAATAGTATTATTTGTTAGGAATTTTTGTATCTCTCAGAGAAAATATTTTTTTTTATGAGGGAACGTATTTGATCGTCGATAAACGTTTGTTAGAAAAGTGGCTTGAAAAAATGGTCATCACAAGTGATTATTTCATTGAAAAACCTTCGTGAGGAAAACACTTTCTGTGAAGAATTTGTATGTCGTCAATAATATGCAAAAAATGTCATGGAAAGTAGAATATTATTGACAAATTTCGTTTGTCAGAAATTTTTTGTTACATATAAACAAATTCTTAGTTTTAAGAGTTGAAATTAAAGAGAAAGTCATGGATGTACTTGAACCATGGAACACAAATGGACAAGGGTTCTGTATGGGCAGATGAAACGATAACAACCAAGGGTTCTCGATTAGAAGAAGACGATGGCTTTGTCCCTTTATTTTAGGCACCATCTGTAAAGCAATAAAAATAATGGCCTACATCAATATACGTGAAAGTTCATCAGACTAATTGGTTAGTACATATGTTTTTGTCAAGAAGACATGAGTTTCGATTCTCCAAATTGCTTCCAATTATTTAATTAATTTTTTTAAACTAAACTCCAAACCGTAAAATCTGAATCCTGAATCCTGAACCCTAAAAATACTAAATCCTATACCTTGTACCCTAAACCCTGAATCCTGAACCTTGTAAAAAAAAGACAACATACTTAACCAATTAGGCTACTTTAGTTTTTTGTTAACAGTTAATCAATATCCCTTTGATTCTTTATTAAATTATTATTAATTTAAATATATTCGTTCCCAGTGCCACCTATGGACAAAAAAATTGTCGCATCTTTTTAACTTAATCAAGTGCGACTTTTTAACTTCATTGATCTATATAATTGTATTGACTCACAACTCAATTCAAATACAAATTGTACTATATAGTACAGGTACAAAATTATTTTTAATCTGTACCATAAGGTATATGTACAAGTTGAATTTGACCATAAATATATATGTACAAGTTCAATTGAACTTTTACCATAAGGTACATGTACAAGTTCAATTTGTCCAATTAAGGTATATGTGCAAAGGAGTGCCCTACACCCAGTGGCGGATGCAACATTTCAAACCACCCTTGTCCTCTTTTCATAATGTAAATATATCAGTATTTAATTAAGAATGATTTAATAAAAATATTAAAATTAATTATATCTAAATAATTCGTTCATAGATTAAAATAATTGACTAAAATCATTATTTTCATAAACAACCACGAATGAATTTCATAATGTGAAAGAAACTCAAAAATATTTGTTATCTACACACTATTAAATAAGTGTCTTTCTATATATCTCTTTAAACAAGCATTATCAAACTGGTCGCCAAATCGACTTTGAAACTTGTTCTTAATATAACTCAAAGCTGAAAAATGCTCTTTTTACACATGCAGTTGTAATTGATAGAATCAAAACTAGTGGAATTGTCGTTGTCGCTAGACAATTTTAGAGTTGCTGGAGGAAAAAATCAAATAGGCGTAAGGAGAAAAGATATCTGATTAGGTCTATATTGCAATTGAAATTTCGTTTATAGTATAATAAATTAATTTTATGTCAATTTATGAACACATAATGAGTTGTGCTCTAGTGACATAATACTCTAATTCTACCTATAGGTGTTGTGTTCCATCACCAATATAAATATATATGGCGTATTTTTGTTCCTCTGAAATTTACCCCAGTCCTGGGACAAGGCCCAAAGAATCTGGCTTCGCTTATGCCTAGACCCTGCAACAATCTAAATCGGTACTACTTAATCGCTTAATAGGGTAAGTGTATTGTTACTTGTCACTTATATAATTATTTAATTTGATTAATTTTGGATTAGATACACTTAAAATGAAAGATTTATTTCGGTGATGTAAAAGGAAAGAGATTATGAGTTTTATTATTAAAAAAAAAGAGATTTTGAGAATTTGGTAAGTTACAAGGGTAAAGGTAAACACGCTGGGGTGAGGAGGGGTATATAAACTTCACTTAGAAGTTAAACCCTAATTCACTGCCGCCTAACCCTCTATTGAACAGTTTCTTCTTCCCTTTCGATCTCTCGTCCACCCTCTGATGGTGAAGCCGCAAGCGCGACACATCTCCTCTTATCTCTCATCTCTCATCTCCTCGACCGGAGATCCAAATCACAAGGTAAGTGTTTTGGAGGCCTTCGATTGAGTTGATTCTCTCAATCGGGAATTTTTTTTCGAACCCTAAAATTTTCCAATCCCCAATCGAGTATCCACTGTTGTTTTCCCCTTTCAGCGATTCAGCATCATGATCCTTTATTCCGTTGATTGATCTAGTGTTGTTTCATTGTAATCGCTATGAGTGAAAAGGGATATTTGTTCAAGGGTCTGACTGGTTCATGTTAAGTCCAGAACTCATAAGTGACATGCTGAGAATTTATGGAGATGATTCTGTTTTTTGACAATCACTCTTCTTCTTTGTCGTCGGTTACCCAAGCCAAGATGCATTGCATACTTGAGACTTTTGATCCGATTCTGACCCCTTTGGTATTTTTTATTTTATTTTTCTGGGTTTCAATGGAGGTGAGAAGAGCAGTCACCGGTGGAGATGGGGAAGCAACACCCACCAACGTCGAAGGACGAGTTTTCTTATTGGTATGCTCATAACATCGCTTAATCGATCTTATTGGTATACAACCTTTTCTAACAATAAACAAGTCATCACAAAAAACATAAGGATATTTTGGGGATGGAAATTTCAAAGTGTTATTAACAAAAAAATATTATTGCTTACAAAAAAATATTCTCACAAATACTTAAACTGACAAAATAATTTCCTTAGAAATAGTTTTTCCTCTCTCACAAAAACTTTTCGTCAAGTTTTTTCCTCAAGGGTATTTCTTTTCTGACAACGATAAATTGCGTTTTGAGGATAATTTATCCTCACAAAAAATGTTTTTATGACGCCAAGTTTTATTATACTATTACCTACGGACCTTTACCCCACGACCCGCTAACGATCGTATTTCGTCAGAATAAACTTTTAGTGACGAGAAAAGGCCTTTTGTGACGTCAATCGTCTAGTAACATCTGCCAGTCTTTTTTGTAGTGACATGAGCCAGATTTCCACCCAGATGACTGGCATGTACGACTACATAGGCAAATGACCACCCAGATGAGCACACTCCAGGTGACCGTGAATGAGATGTGAGATGAGTTTCGATCTTTCAGTGGAAGATACATGCATCCCACCACATCCGACTACCATAATGCTAGCAACACCAATGAAGAAAATATGGATGAGGGAGAGAGGGGACATGAGTAGGAACTCGATGATTTTAGATTGTGTATTTTTATTGTTAAGTGTTAAAATCGATTTTGGATTGATATTATGTGGTTTTAGTTGTTATGTTATGAAGTTATGAGTCCTTATTATCATTATTTATGACTGATTCTGTTGGTTTGAAACGTAATTTGTACCGGTAAAAGAACCACCCACATCGACATACATAAGCAAATTAAAAAATACACAGATCATAGGTTGATTTTCCTATATTCGATCGACCTAATCCGGTACGGGGTCGACCGCGAAACCAACACTTGATCTTCATTTTTACGTCAAATGATGATTATAGAATACAACACTTCTCTGCTATCTGGTCGACCATTTTGTTAATGACCGCCATCAAGTGTTCGGCCTATATACATTTACGGTCGACCATTTTGCTTCTCATGCCAATGAAAAGGGCGACCGATGTTTTATTGTGGTCGACCAACAATGACAACTAAAACTAAAAACAGTTGACCACTACATTTTAAAGGTAGACCGTGATAAGTCATCAGGGTGCCCACATTAGTGTATTTGGTCGACCTGTGTTAGGATTAGGTCGATCGAACATTATAAGTTACGGTGACATGCATGTCACCATAGGCTTACCCTATTGTTTATTCTTCGCATATCCGGTTTTTATTTTATTTTTTGATGAATCAGCGGGTTATATATTCATCAAAAAGAGAGTTGCTAGAAACAACCTTGCTAGCTAGGGG